GATATAAGGTTTATTTCTGTAAGATAAATTTTACAAAATAAAGTTTATTTCTGTTAATAAACTTTCTGTTCCGCAAACAAATGTATTTCTTCTCAATGTGTATTGCAGATTTTACTGTGAAATCTTACTTTTCCACTCAAAGTCAAGTGAAAGATTAAGACGAAACAAGGAAGTGTTTCCACCAAAAGTCAGTGAATATTCACTGATCGTCGACGAAATAGTTCTCTCGCCGATTCAATCAGCAACATCTTTACTGATTTCCCTTAACCCATTAAGGCCCAAGAGAAAACCGCTATGGATAGGCTTTCAAACACCATTTAAATTAGGGCAAAACATCGAAATTTGTTAAAAAGTGAAAAAAAAAATTTGTTGGATTTCAAAATTCAAGATGGCGGATCAATATGTCGGCTCGAAAATTTGAAATTTTGACCTATTTGAGTGAAAATCCGTATTTGGGGTTTGCTGAGCATAAATATGCACTTATTTTTTCAAAATTCGTAATGGCGGATCCAATATGACCGCTTAAAAATGCGAAAATTTGACATAGTTTTTTGGCGAAAAATCCAATCAAATTATAAGCTACTTTTCGAAGGTGTTTATTTTGGAGCAAAACATCATACTTTAGCAGACTGTAGAAGAAAAATGATTTTTTGACTTTAAAAATCAATATGACGGTCAAAAATTTTTAATTTTGATTTATTTCAATGAAAGTACGTTTTAAAAAATAAAAAAAATAACTGCATATTCATACTCAACGAACCCCCCCTATACGGATTTTCACTCAAATAGGTCAAAATTTCAAATTTTCGGGCCGACATATTGGTCCGCCATCTTGAATTTTGAAATCCAACAAATTTTTTTTCACTTTTTAACAAATTGCGACGTTTTACCTTAATTTAGATGATTTTTGAAAACCTATCCTCAGCGGTTTTCCCTTGGGCCTTAATGAGTTAAACGAGTGGGAATGGCAGTCAGCGCGACGTGTTGTAGAAACGAATTCTCTTCTCAGTAAAGAACGACGGAACGTGGTAGCGTGCGCTTGGAATAATTTTTGTTGGCGAGTTCGGTGGCGACACTCGCGGATCGCCTTGAGCGAAAATTCCGCGTCGGTAACGGGACGGCGGAAAAGAGCGATTGCATAACAAAGACGCGATTATCGTCGACCTGACGAATGCGTTATCTCCGATTCCTCATGTATAAGTTATACTTAGTATTCGCTTTATCGCCTTTATCTCGCCAATGCGAATCAACCGCACGAGGTAATGCATTTTACTGCCGGCCCGTGTACACAGTGTACACGGCTACATATTTATCGACCGCGACGTGATTTGAATATGCGCTGCCGCTGCGCTGCTACCTCCAATGCATCCTCATTGCGTTACGCGTTACGGTACGGCACGGCACGGTAGAGCACAGCGCAGCACAGTGTAGCACGCCACGGTACGGTATGGTGGAGAGGTAGCGATAGCTGAGCCCGTAGACACACACCGGCGTGTATGAGAACGTGTGGTGGACTTGGCCACCACCGTTATTACGAATTACTGCCCATTCCGTAAATTGATGTAAAATATCACGAATGCGAAAGCGGGAATTATGAAAGAGTCGATGTGTGTTTGCCCGGCGCGAATGAAACGCGCGCGTAGCCGCCTTCGTGTTATTGAATTAACTCTAGTTGCGATACCAAGTCATTTTTCACAGCGTCTACTATTCATTTACGCGACCGCAAAACTCCCCGCCCCTTCCTCGTCGGTCTCGCGGGAATTGAACAAAGTGGAACGCGTTTACGAAATAAGCACAGAGCTGGGAGGGCAGAGAAGGAGAGAGAGGGAGAGAAGATGATGGATCGCGTGAGACAATATTAATGAATCTAAAAAAAATTGTTGCATTAATATCTGGCCCGAAAGCAGCAGCCGATTATTCTTAGGAGAAATCGATGGGAGACGACAGTTATTTAACGCTGTAACAGTTATTATTACGACAACGTTACCGACTGCGGGACGGGAATAGTAAAGCGGGAGGATTCGCGCGGCGGTCAGTCCAGCGACGAAACAAAACCGTGACTCGGCCATTCCGAAGGCGTCTATACATAGTTTTGATTAATGAACGTAAAAGGATACGTCTTGTTGCGGAAATAACCCCATCAATTATGAATTTATGCCGAATCGGGAGCCGAGCTCGTGCTCGTCGAGCTCGCGCCGAGCGGACGCATCTCTGTCTCATTTACGGACAATTAACGCGCAGCGCAACGCGGAGATTAATAAACACACATACGCACACATACCGCACGTGCGCGCGCTCACGCACATGCACACACGACGCCCACGCGGAAGGCAGACAGAAGGTACGAGACGGGTATAATTTAGCGGCGGTCGCGAGGGGGAGCGTTAATTGAGAATGATCGACTCTCCTCGCCGGTGCGGCGCGGTTGGAACAAATAATGGCAGTCGGATCGAGCCGCGCGCGTATCGCATCGCCGCATCTCCCTCGTCTTATTTCGCCTTACCGCCGCCGCGGCGGCGGCGGCGGCGGTTTCTCGTGATTCCAATTTTTCTCCGTGCCGGCACGATAAAGAGGCCACTCGCTCCTCGCCTCGAAACAAGATTGATCGCGAAGCTCGTGCTCGTGAGCGCCGCTAGGGTGCAAACACTCTCGCGCCCACCTGGATTTTCGAGGGAACGGCGGAAGATTAAATTAAGTGCTCTCTATCGAAATCGAGAGAGGGACAAGAGGGAGAAAAAAGAACTTTGGAATCATTTATTATTACCTATCCCCGGAGACTGCGATTTATGTCACATGACATTTCCCAAGTTACTCGTTTTACACGGAGAAAATTGCAATAGAATTTGTGGCTGAAACTGCTGTGTATTTGCTTAAAAATGTTATGCACTTTTTATTACCAAATTATTGCAATTATTTGAATGCTTTTACGTCGCTTTTATGTCGTAAATATTATTTTTATATTGTAAATATCGTTATTATATACGTGGTAAATTTATTATTTCTATAGTAATTTATATGGCGATGTCAGTGTAGTCTTGATTTACAAAAAATATTTTAAAATGAAATGCACTCTTAACATAATTTTTATTGCAATATTTTCTCCCTTTATGTACATGCCTTGCGTATACAGGGTGTCCCGAACCTCCATGTTAACCCTTTGTGAGAACGTAGAACGGATTGAGGTGAGCAAGAAAGTCCTGTACGTATCGTTTTGTGATATTCGCAATAATAGTCGAGATATTAATTAAAAAAGATTGGTGAATGATCACGCGTGATATGGTAGATGAGCTGTAGTGGGACCGTCTGCCATTGTATAATTATATATTAAGTTAAACTAAACAAAAAAGTCTTCTACCATTTTGCAAATGATTACATAGATTTTTAAATATTAAAGAAAATTGTTACATATATGATTGTATATCATAATGCATAAATTTTATTTAATTAATATCTAAAAATCTATATGGTAATTCTATCAATCTGTTCTACGTTCTCACCAAGGGTCATCATGGAGGTTCGGGACACCTTGTATAAGGGATCTTTAGTTGATGGCATGATTATTACGCGTGATTGGTTTTTTATGGGTTATTACACTCGAGACCATTAACGCGCCCAACTCGGCGAAGAAGCATCCCCAATAGACTGATATACGTAAACTTCATAGCAGCTTTAAGTATATTAAATCATGAAGTTCAGCAACATTTGAGTCCCTCATGACTAAAATAAATTCTGTCAGGTTGCAACCATACTTATATAAGGTGACCAGATTTCCCAGCCCTGAATTCGGGACACTTCATAAATGTGTGAAACGGGGGGAGGGGAATAAAAAATCCGAAAATTATTTGACAGTCATTGAAAATGATGATAAATCGGTGTCCCGAATAGCACTCGAAAAAATTTGGGATAAAGGGACGTCTGGTCACTGGTTAGCTGTATGTATCGAGAAGGGAGGAGATTACTCCGTAATAATGTACTTTCGATATGTTTTGACGACCGCACGTCGTTGTTTTCGGCACTCTAATACTTATTTCCGCAGGAGACTCACAGGACGAAAGACGTATGGAATACGGAACGTTGTGTCCGTGGCAGTTGCTCGGCATGAAAAGATCGCAGACGCGTACGCTGTCAATCACGTACAACAAAAAGTTCATTAACGCGCCGAAAGTGCCAAAAGTGCATGAATGTGAACGCACCAGTGATGCGAACGAGGTCGCGCGTCTACAACGACGCGATCTGTACGGCGAACCACTTGCTCGAGTCGGGGCTGAGTACAATAAAAGGAATAAGGAATCGAGAATAGAGAACAGAAAACAAAGAATAGAGAACAGTTCAAAATTAAAACATGAAACCTAATTCATCAACGCAGAATAGAGGAACAGAGGAATAGCGTTATTTCTTGTTTTCAGTATTCCTTATTCCTTATTCTCTGTTCCCTGTTCTTTATTCCTTTTATTGTGTTCAGCCCCTTACTAACTACTCTAGACCAATCGCGTTCGTTTCGCACTACGAGGTTGTCATCGTGGTTATTCAATCTAGACGTTGGTAATGAATCGCGCGAAATGCTCGATCTTTTCGCGCCAAGCAGCAGCCATAGGCACACATCGATCCACATCGCTCCGCGTTTCTCCCGTCTTTTATCCGTCGAAAGTGCGTCTCGCGCGTTAATAAGTCTCGGGAGTGTCGAGAATAGCGATGTGCGATCGCCGGGGCGTATCGTGAAGACGTCATTTGTAAGTAATCTTCTCATTTCTCCTCGCGGTATATGTAAGGTGACCAGATTTCCAGTCCTGAATTCGGGACACTTCATAAATCTGTGAAGCGGGGGGAGAGGGTAAAAAGATCTGAAAATTATTTGACAATCATTGAAAATTATGACAAATCGGTGTCCCGAATAGCACGAGAAAAAATTCGGGACAAAGAGTGAAAAATCGGGACGTCTGGTCACCTTAACTTATAGAATGGCAAAACAGAAATACAAAAGAAATATGAGAAAAATTAGACAAATTTATAAACAATATGTGTCGTAATATAAACGTAATATGAAAATCTGAACGTAATTAATTTCATTAATTCAATAGGCAGTATATTTACTTGATAAATGCAATTTAAAAAATTATAAAGTTTTCATCGATCGATTGTCTCACGCCGTGATAATCATGAAAATTTGGATGGAAAGCGGGAAGAAATCCTTCCACGCGGAGGATTCGAGACTGCTGTCTCGTGTCCGAATTGTTTTCGAAAAACAAACGGAGTTACTCGCGTATTCCGTTAAAATATACAAACACGGCGCACGGTCAAGCGAGGATGGCTCAAAGATAGTCGAAGGACTCCTCCTGCCCTTTTCCTAAACGATTCTCTTTCTGATTGTTCTACCAATTACCAAATCCCCCGTACATACGATACTAAGAGGCGGATGCCGACGTGCTCGCGAGCGAGAAAGAGGACAAACATCGAGCGGTAAAACGAGATGACGAAAAGGGTGATAGAAGGTAATGGAGTGAAGGGTAGCGTTGGGGGGAGAGAGCGGAGAAAGAGAGAGACACCCTGGGCGAGCGAAGGAGTGGGAAAGAGACGCCACACACATACAGTGGGAAGAGACGGCGAACAGCATGGGAGGAGAGGCGAACACAATAGAAGCAATACGGGTAGACGAAGATGAAAGAGGCTCTCCGTCAGCGTAGAGTCCGCTTAGAGGAGAGGCAGGTAGATCCGCACGGGCTTATAAAAGGCCGCGTATCCGACGCAGATGGAACTATCGATATCGTGGCAGCGGCGTCGAAATCGTTAAGCCACGTTTTCAGTGCTTGCACGTTCGTTTCGTAGTAGGAAGTCTTTCTCTCTTTCTCCCTCTCTCTCCCTCTCTCTCTCTCTCTCTCTCTCTCTCTCTCTCTTTCACGACGTTTTGTCCCAAGCCGTGCTCGCGCACGGGCAGGTGCTCCCAACGTGTTCTAAATAAACCCGAGATAAAGCCGCGGTAAACGTAAGAGAGGACGAATTGCATAAGCCCGTTGTGTTGTCGGCGGTAAATCGTTTTTCTCTCGCGCCAATCCCGCGTTACTTTAACGATCTTGACAGGGAGCGATCATAGTCAGAAAACGCTTCTCGGAGTGCTCGCTTCCCCCTCCCTCCTCTCTCCCGCGTCCTCCTATCTCCCGAACGCTTACTACGTCCGTTATGGAACTCGATCGGGGCGAACTACTTTCGGGAAATGTAATTTCGTGCTCGGGCTTATCTAAATATCGTGGGACCCCGCGTTTACGTGAAACCGATTAAATTGTTTCCTAAAAGTATCTCCCTTTCTCTCTCTCTCTCTCTCTCTCGTTCTCGATGTGCTATCCTCCTCAATTCCTCTCTGCCGAGCGACCGATAATCGCGTGTTCTGGAGTCGTCACTTAAGGGGGAAGAATTTTAATTATATCGGGAAATTCTCTATCATTAATGCTGATGAGAGGAACAACGTTAACCTCCTGTAATTGCAGGTAAATTGATACTGTACTGTGCACCAGGGGCTCTCGTGGATTTCTTTGTGCCAGTGGCTCCCTTTGGCAGACCGGCGAAACGTATGCACCCTTCTCTCAGAATGCTTAGCGTTCTTTGCGAGATGCATAAAATGAATCACGCGCGCGGGAAGGAAAGCCCGGCTAGATTACAAACAAATTTCTGGCAAAATATCAACGCACCAGAAATTCCGGTTGTGAGGTCACCAGAATTCTGCTCAACTTCGCTCAAGATCTCTGGTCAACTTGAACGAAATATTCCGGCAACTTGAAGCGAGATTTTCTGGCTGGTTTGTGTTTCGCCAGAAATTTGGTTAATTCAACCGAGCGTTTTTTTTTTCCGTGCGGGACTACACAAAGAAATGCACGACTGCGGAAACAGGCATCGGCGTGCGAGGCAGACAAATTTGCTGAATCCGTGTCTTTTCGACGCTAGATTTCAATTAGGCAAAATAAATGCGCAATTATTTCCTCACTCGAGTTCGCGCACAGCCCCTATGATTTATTCACCGAGGGTTAAGAGGACTCCTCCCCTGTCGTGGTGCACGTTGGTTCTCCGGTGTTTTTCACGTCTCCGTCCGAAAATATTTGCTTCAGCCGGCGCGCAAGATCGGTATAAGCGCCGATTTAGATAATACGCTCGCCCGATACAGCAGTCCGCCGCGAAGTTTCGAGCCGGTAAACGAGAGATATACCCTCTTATTTTCGACTACATCGCGCGATATACATCGAGCTCGTCGTGTTGCGGGGAGGAAGAGAAGGGAGAGTGGTAACTCCAGATATATCCTTGTTAGAGGCGACACGTCCCACTTTCGAGCCGCCACCGTCGACTCGTATATCGGGGCTTTATGGTGTAGAATCCTAATATATTGAATTTCCGTCTTGTGCGATTGATAAATCAGATATATCGGCGCTGCACACACGAAACTGCACGTAAGGAGCAGGGAGGGGCAAGAAGGGCTGAACATCATTCCTTTGTGCATGACTGCGACACCGTCCGCGAAGATATTGGCTCCAGGATTTTAGACAGTGTTCAATCGCGCGAGATCCGCGTCTCCTTGCATTCACACGTACGCAATCGTACCGCGCTATTACGTCTTTATCGGTACATCACACGTCCACGTAGAGTTGAATCGCGAATGTTTTTTTATCGAATACTGAACGACTCATCGTACATTCACCATAGACTCCGTCGTCGCTTTTCCACGTACCTGAAAATCTTTTGTGTATTGAATTTTCCCAAACGGCGAAATGTGTATCTTATCTCGAGCTTTAGGTGTGTATGCGCGTGTATGTATCACGGTAAATATAGCAGCGACCGCTGATACCGGATGTCCGAAAGCGAGAGAGAGAGAGGGAATACATTTCCAAATACTTTCTTGTTTGGAAAGATCACAACCGCTTTTCGATACCTCCATCGTCCCCTCATCTAGCCCTCATCAGTGCTATAGTATCGACCTTTTAAATTACTTCTGACTCATACCTGTTTCTGCGAATGTCGATTGAATCTTAACCCAAGTTTAACCTTCTTATCTGTTTGGATTTTTTTTTCGATCTGAGTATCCTTCAGAAAGTCTTGTGATATTAAGTCCTATGCATTCAAATATTACTAACGAGATAAGACAAGTAAAAAAGTCACAAACTTTGTGACTTTTATCTTTAACATTTTCACGTATTTTATAATGCATAATATACAAAAGAACACTGTGAGAAAGTGGCGCTGTCCAAAGTGTCCTTTACTTCGATCGACCGATAGAATCATACATCGAATTCCTCAATATCTCTCTTATTATACCTCAGTTATGAGCATCTCACAGTCGGGGGGCAACCGAGTGACTACGTCACTGCTTTGCACCGAGCTCTCTCTCACCGATTTAAATAAAATACCCACTCGGGCGGGGATCGCGTTTTACCGATAACGCGATAGCCGAAACGCGCGCTGCCTGTTACGACGTGTGTGTGTCAGTGTGTATTCGTGTGTATATCTCTGTCGGCGAAGCAGGGTTTATCGATACGCGTCCTCAAATCGATCGCGCGCGCAGCGGGTATCTCCGACTCCGAATATCCGCTCCTTGTCGGAGCCCGTCGCCCTGTCCCCAGCGCGCTACGCCACTGGCGGCTCGTATTGGCTGACGGCGGTGGAGGGGAGCGGCGATGCCTCAGTAAACGCCGAGCGCTCGAGCCGTCGATGCCACGGCGAAGCGGTTACGAGAGAGAGAAAGAAAGAGATCCGCCGCGAGAGAACCGGCATTGCTCGCGAAACGTCCGCGGCTTTCGTCGAGCGACGCTCCCGGGTTTGTTGACGCGATATTCGCGATCACGGCAGTAACCGAGAGCTCGAATCGTTGGCGACGGTGCGCGATTGTGTGTGGTAGCAGCAGTAACGGCGGCGGCGGCAGCGAGACCGGAGCGCTTCCACACCGGGAGGGAGTCCTGCTCTCGCACGTATGTGTACGTACGCGTGTCCGTGCGTCGTCGACGTCCGTGTGTGCCTTGTGCGACGGTGAGTTTCCTCGCACAGTCGTTCGCCTTTCTCGCGGCTGCTGGTGTGCCGTGCCGTCGCTGCGTGCGCGTATGTACGCGTCGAAGAAGCAGCACCAGCCGTCGTCGTCGTCGTCGTCGTCGTCGTCGTGTGTGTGTAATAAGTGAGTGCATCCCTCTCCGCCGCTGTCGTCGGTGATGTGTACTACGTGTGTGCGCGCCAGCGCGCGCGTGCACCGTGCGTTAGTCCAACACTCGTGTGTTGCGCAACGGCGGCGCGCGTGTGACGATACTTTCGCGTAGCGCTCCTCGAAGACGTCGCGTTATCAGCGTCTCTCGGGTGTGTTCTTCGCGTGTGTTGCCTCTTCCTGTGTACGCGTGCACGTGTGTGTGTCTGTCTGTCTGCCTGCCTGCTGCCTGCCTGTCTGTTTGTATGTCTGTGTGTGTGTGGAGTCTTTTCTCCGACAACGGCGATCGACGTAGACGTGGAGGAGGAGCGCATTAGCCACGCTGGTTTGTCTTCTTCTTCGGAGGGATACGGATGCTTCTGTTGCTGGTAAGGCGCTTCTTCGTATACCGCACGACAGATTTACACACGACACACAGAGAAGGAGAAAGAGAGGGAGAAAGAGCGAGAACATCACATACATGCACATACTCGCACGAGACTGGGTACGCATGCGCTCAATGTGAAAACCGCCGGTCCTCCGCTCTGATCTTTCTCTCTCTTCTTGTCGCTCCTCTTCCCTCTGTCTGTCTATCTGTCTCTCTCTCTCTCTCTCTCTCTCTCTCTCTCTCTCTCTCTCTCTTTCATTCCCTGCTCTCCCTCTCCTCATCTTCCTTTCCCCCTTCCTGGCGTCTCCCGTTGGATTACCTCACGGACAAAGGATACGTAAACGGGGATATACGCGCTGGATAAACTTCATCGGGGCTTGCTCTCTCTCTCTCTCCTTCTCTGTCTCATTCACTCACTCACTCACTCACTGGCTCTCCGCCCTCCCCGCCGACGACTATATAGGTATTGTTCTTCGCTTTGCCTCTGTTCCGCTCTGTTCTGCACTGCTCCGTTCTCTATCCCGACGGGTGCCCCTGTGTGCTGCACCGCCGGGGCTGGAGGGCGGAGGAGGGGGAACGGTGCGGCGGTGTGTATATGTGTTCGATAAACGCGATCGAAAGATTCTCGCCCTCGGGGGCGTAGGGGTAGAAGGGTCGCTCAATTCTGTCGACACGATTCAAATCTTTGTTAATCCCGGAGATGCGCAACGGAGTACAACCGAGACTCCGTTTTCTCAGTTCGATATTCTCCAATCGCGCGACTGCAACCCGGGTCTGCTACCTCCCGACATGGTCGTTTAAATTTTTTTCCACATTTTGAGGTAGAAACGAGTAGAAAAGAAAAGAAAGAGACATGATGTTAAAGCGGTCGGAGCGCTCGTTTAGGTAATAAATAATAAATTATGCAATAATTTATTATTACGCGTAATTATTATTGCGAAATAAATAATGATGAGAAGTAAAATACAGTGGACACTTGTATTCTTCTAGATTTATTTTCGCGCGAAATTCACGAAATTCGCAAGACTATCATCTTTCGTTCACGCGCACGCGTTTTCTGGATTTATTGCACAGTGATTCTTACTTATCGCGCATTAATTCTGACAAAGATTCGATCTAGAAGAAGATTAATGCTGCAATTCTAAACAGAATCGTAAGTCTTGTAACTTGTTCTCGTAAAATTTGTCAGAACTTATGAGTAGATTTACAAATCTATGCAATATTATATGTCGTACAATTACTCGTAAATATCTACGATTTCATGTAATTTACGATATTTACAAGTGATTGTACAACATATGATATTGCACAGACTTGTAAATCCACTCAAGTTCTGACGCATTTTACAAGTTACGAAATTTACGATTCTGCTTAAAATTACAGTATTAATTGCTCCTCTCCGCGATCTCAGTCGCCGTCATTATCCACGCGTTCCGTTATCTAACATATACTCCATGATCCAATTGAAGCGAAGATATCAACAGCACCGCGTTGTCACTCGTCGCGAGAAACGCCGTTTCGACATTGTTCCACGGAAACTTCCCGTTAAATTCTAACGCATCGCCCCTTTTCAGAGAGCTTCGTTTCGGAAATTCTGCGGCGATTAACAATCGACGTGATTTTGCGAGAGAGACGACGACGGCGTCATGTAATCTCGCGGCGTGAGACGAGCGGAAAACGGTGGTCGGTCGTAATGTGACGAGAGAGGAGAGGACGCTCCTCTTGCGGGGGGATAATCGTCCTTACGGTTCGAGCGTTTAGCGAGCGCCGTCATCGGTCGTATATCCACCCCGATGTATCTCCCTGCTCATGCCGTAGTTTCTTCTTCTTCTTCCACCGCTTCTTCTTTTTCTTTCTCCACCGTCTCCTCCTGCTCCTTCTCCTCCTCCTCCTCCTCTTCCTGCGCCACCGCCACTTAATGAAGCGGCAGTTTGCCGCTCGCCGGATGTGTACACGGTTCTGCTCTAGACCGTGTTTAATGGAGATTCCGGCCGGTATCGATCGCGCGTACGTGACAGATAGATGCCTACGACGATGGTAATAGGATCAATCGCGGTCGGCACATCTGCGCCCCTATATATAACTTATAACGCCGCCGCAAGTTATGACGAGCGGCCGAGCGGTGCATTATATGCATTATGTATCGGCCGGCGTTACACACGAAGCGGATTACCGCACACTCGCGAGCGCGACGTTATTACGACGACGAACGACCGACCGGGCTTTTGCACATCGGCCAGGCTGCCCCGGCGCTCTGAGCTTTCGTGCTTGAAACGCGCAAAGCGCGCGTCGGCCGTTGAAAGAATCGCTCGACTGTCGCCCGCGAGCGACGCCGTGTGTGTGAAATATTTTGCAAATATATCTCCGTTACATATGTATGCGCTGTGTGCCTTTTTTCAATTTCTCCTCTGCTCTCTTTTGTACACGCGTAACGCGAGGATGCGCATCGATGGTTTTCTGGAAGGCGACGTGCGTGTGCGCGGCCGCGCACGTGTGTGTGCGTGCGTGCGTGACGTATGTTGTACGTGACGTTGCGGAATCGAATTTAACGGGAGAGGAGAGATACCGCGGTAATTTGTTCCGGCTATTATATACGTGGGAATCGCGGATGTTAATGCGCTTACGTAGATATCGGCCGCGATTAAGACGTCGTGCTTTTCGGTATAAATAACGAGGATGAGACTGATCTTAATTGTGAGATTTCTCGCCGGCTTATTTGAATATACGACTACACGCCGACGAGAGGTTGTCGGGCTGGTTTCGTCGGCTGCCGTCGTTACGCAGCCCGGGTAATATTAAGAAATTATATCTGCTCTCTTAGAGACGCTACCTCGTTCAAAGTTACCTTAATCAAATGCGCGAGCCGCGCGACTACTCGCGTATCTCCTCGGCTCGCAGCGGATCTCTCGCCGCTCTAAAACATCGCGAACTAAATCCGCGTCCTCGCGCGCGGATTTATGCGGTCGTATCGCCGGTGAATCGTGTTTAAACCGTGGTCGCGCGTGAAAATTAAAGACGCGAGAGTTACAAGTTGCGTCTGTGTTCGCGCGCAGCCGGCGAATATAGACCAAGTCTCGAATGTGGATCTATGTTAAACGATATTGCATTATCGCGATATCTGCGACTTTCAATGCCGATTTTACAGCGCTGTGGAAAGGTCAGTAGAAACTCTCCGCGGGGCGTGGGGGGGAGGGGGGGGGGAAGAAGAGAAAAGGAGAATAATGGAAGGAACTGATTATTATCGCGGTACCATCGCGTACGGTTACGTCGTTTCTCCTTTTACGGGCGATGTAACGACGCGGATTGATTTCTCTGAAGCAATCATCGATGATCATATAACATTTGCAAAAATCGCGGTGAGCCTTGTCAACGGTGGCTCGCCAGAAGCGTGGCATTAAACCGCCTGACGACTGGTTCATTATATAAAACGTTGTAAGCCCAGACATTGCTTTCCAGTCGAGCTGCGAGATATCATTGGCGCGTAATCACGCGCTTCCATTCGGAACCGAGAGCGCGCGCGGGATCACTGTACTTAAGCGTTCCTCTTTCCGATCGATCAATTGAAAGCCACCCGTCACGAAACATTCTTCCCGCCCGTAGGTAGGCAGGTAGGCAGCCAGCCAGCCAGCCAGCCAGCCAGCCAGCCAGCCAGCCAGCCAGCCAGGCTTGCTAAATCGTGATTTCGTATCGACACCGGGTATCAAAAGCGACACCGATGTTTACTCGACATCGCGGCTTACAAATCGACGTTATCGAGCGCGTCGTGGTCGTTATCGCTTTCGAAATCGTCAATATTCAAAGATGATTCTCGAGATCTCGAGAGATTTACTTTATAAACTGTGTATGTATGTGTGTGTTCGAGAGAAAAAGTATTTAAAAAGTAAAAAATATTTATCGCGATGCGATATTAATAACATATTTATTCAACTTTTTATTTTCAAATTTAAATGAAATAAACAATTGTTTTCGTGTAAAAATCAACGATTTTAGCAGTTAAAAAATGTAAATTTTTCCCACTCGCAAAAAATGTTTTTTCAATGGAAAAATATGTATATTAGGTAAATATGTTAATTAACGTCAATTGAACATTTTTTATTTTTTAGATATTTTTTTCTCTTTCCCTCTGTCTCAGTATATTTTCTATATCTTTCCTCTTCTTCTCCCACAAGATTTCAAAAGATATGTTTCGAGTTTAAGGCATTTCGTTGATTACTTTTAATGGCCGGCCACTTCACTAATTGGTATCTAATCTTTATTAAGTCGAAGCGATACGCGATCAACACGAATATAGCAACATCTCCGCGGGACGTCAGAGTCGCAGGACGTGTCGATATTGGAAGCATCGTCGATAGCATTATCGTCGGCGCTTCCGGTCACGATCGCAGCCTCCCCGAATCGTCGTGACGACGCGACCGACGATTCCTCTTCGATCGTTCCTCTTTCCATGCCTTCTCTCGTTCCCCTCGA